CTTGGCTTGGGTAACTTTTGAAAACCCCAAGAAATTAGCTGTTCCTCTGAGAGGCTAAAATAGGAGATCAGTTGATGGGCTCCCAGACTGATACTTGATCATTTCTGAAGTCAGTTTTTAAAGGACAAATATCCCAAAGTTAGTGGTAGCAGCCTCTCCAATATAAATATCTGATGGGTTTTCTTAGAGGTGTATGGTAGCGAATTGAACGCCCTATGAAGTTTGGATTTTCTCATTCGTAACTGGTAAATTGGGAATAATAATAACTTGGAGATATATTGATTAACTGTTAGCGTTGTCCCCACAGAAAGCAATTTGCAGCAATGTGGCAACAAGATACCATCGAAAAATTTTAGCCAAGCAACTGAAGCAACTACCAACCACAGGGAAGAATACTGTCGATTGACATATGAGGGGGTGGTAAATACATTGGCAGTAACCAGCACCCAGAGCAGTAAATGTCAACTAGGGAACAAAGTGACCAGCAAATTGTTTCCAATGTAACCTTAGAACAAGGAAGTCAAACAGAAAACCTAGTCAGTTCAAGAAAATCTCACATTTGTCAGCCGGGGTTTTAGTTCAGAGTGAAGTCCTTTCATGGTTGCGTCAGATACCTGCTGCACCGAAAGTACCTTTATTTCCATCATATGTAAAGCAACGACTGTAATTGCCTTGAAATGCATGTTACTAGACTGGTAAGAAGCAGAAAGCAAGGTATTGTCTTAAGCTAGCTGCAAAGTAAAGCTCAACCACAGTTCAGCCATATCAGCTGATCTACTTAGCAAATATGATGGATGCGTGGGGAAGTCCCAGTACAGACGGACACCACCAAAGATAAATCACAGCAGAAGCAAACTGGAAACGACAGTCTTCCTTTAACTTTAGTGGTACTGACATAGTTACATTCGGTCTCAGATTGCTATCACAGTTTTGCCTTCCGTTTGAGCTGTAATATATCGCTGCACGATGGCAGAGGGAACTAATTGATCAGGTAATAGCTTTGGTAACACGTGGTCAGATCTTAAACGTGTCTCTCGTTCATGGGCTCCACCTTCCGCACATCAATACAACGGCTCACTAGCTCTCGGCTGCCTCACTTATCTTGCCCCGTCCAGTCTGCAGTAATCAGCGGTCGATACATCACTGGGCAGCAAAGTGCCATGTGAGCTCTACAACCTTCCAGCTGGATTTAGGCTCATTCTTTCAGCTCAGCACAGTACTGCTTTGGGAAGAGGATTGATCCCTGCTAAGGTTTTCTTCCTTTAGACAAAGTTGCAGGAGTTGTCAGGCCTAATATCTAGGATTAGTTTTTCCTCATGTTCAGTCTGAAGATTATAGATAAGGGAAAAAAAAAAGCTCTGTACTTCTGTCCCATTGTGTTTGTTTTTGGCTTCTGCGAGCTCATCCCCCACACTTGTGGTTCATGGCGAAACCCCTCAGCAGCTCTTGAGGATGTATGACATGTTGCGGAATTCCAAACATTCCTGAAAGTGTGTGGGATTTAATTTTTTTGTGTGTGTGTGTGCTGAGCACACTTGTGAACAAGTGAGAGCGCATTAACCCAGATGGGTTTGTCAGCTGTGTAAATCAAAAGAAGCAGAAATGTTTATGCAAGTTCTAGCATTTGCTGCAACACCAACAAATGTATCCCACCACTGAACCCTTTGTTTTTTGTTTTTTGTCATGTTCCTAATTTCTGGATGATTCAGTGAAACAGACATTTGGTCTCAGTTCCTTGAGTCCTCTTTTAGTCGTGTTAGATCATCAGGAGGAATACTCATTTTGTCCATTTCCTACTTTTGCTACTGCTTTTGGGCGGAACGGAAGCAGGAACCCGTCTGACCCCGAGGAGTTTTTCCTTTTTACGGCACTTAATGCAGCCAGCAGAGCCTGACATGGAGGCGTCTTGTTTAAGAAAAAAACAAACCAGAAACTCGATTGCGCTTCAGTGGCCGTTATCTTGCCAGACTGGATGGGTGAGATGAAGAGTGTCTATCCTTCCAAGAGCTTCAAAAAACCCTGCAGAAAACAGGAAAGCCTTTCTTGTGACTGCCACTCCTTTATCTTTTTGTGAGTTTTTTCAGCTTGAGTACGTGCAGCATTCAATTATTTTGGGTTTTTGAAGAATTGTCACTCTGTGTGTTTGTGTTTTATGCTGTCAGGGTGGTGGTTGATTATCTCACTTGCCCCAGCTCCCAGCTACATATTTATTGTGCGTAGTCAGCCCGCGCATTCCTCTCTACTCCCCTTATAAACCCAGCTCAGGTGCTGACAGCCTGTCTGCTGCTGCCTGGATATTCCATAGTCTCTTTCACTCAGTCATTACTCAGCTCAGAAATATGAGATAAAGTGCCCCAGGAGCGCTAAAGCTCTCTCAGAGCCCACCTCATTCTCTGCATCTCCCTGCCGTGGAAGAGTGTACTCAGCTTGCCGGTGCTGTTGTTTTGAGCTGATTGTGCACACCCTTTGTTCCTTGTCTGCTAAAGCGCTGTTTGTTCTCATTTTTTAGGATCTACTACATCTCTCCCATTGTCTTTTTTTTGAAGAAATGTGCAGATTGCTGGGTAATTGGACAACAAATCTGGTTGGTTTTGAGGATTTGATGCGTGAACCAGCAAAGGGACTAGGGATGCCAGGGATGTAACTAGAGCAGGAGGATCTAAGATTGCCGCCAGTGGCGATGCAATCAAGTGTTGCATCTGTCCTCCCGGCACCCACCGCTGACCTCATCTCACGGCTCTGGCAGCTAATGCAGAGTGAATCATTCTGTTCAGAAAAAGAAGAATAGAGGGCAAAGAGGGATCTGTTATTTAACTATTTGGGAAATATATAGTGAAATAGCTGAAAAGCGGGCTGTGCAGCTCACTGAGAGTGTCAGCTTTTGATTAATGTGCAGGTAAAACATTTACCTTCGTGTAAACCAGGAAAGATCAGCCTGGCCTATTTGCTTCGTCATGTCAGCTTTCTTGACGCACAAGTCGTTGTAGCGTCTGCGTCTCAAAGGAGAGGAAACAGCAGCAAAGGGCAGCCTGTGGTGCACTAATTTTAAGTCCTGGCCTTGCACCTTCAATTTCAAAGTGATACAGACTGGTTAATTTGTGCTGTCATCAGCTTACATGTTCTGTACTTAACACCGCGGGAAACTTTGAGTCAGCAGGACGGGCGATCGTGCATGTTTTGGAGCGTTTTGCACTGCAGCCGTTCGAGAATGCAGCCCAAACAGCATCACGTTGTTTTCTTTTCTTTGGATTTAAGCTTTGGCAACCTTGAATGAATTTGTATGTCTGACAGAAATGGAGACAGTAGAGTTTACACATCACACTTGAGCGTTTGTGATCCGAAACATCAATGGGCCTGTTTGTCTGTGCTGTTCACAGCTGCAGTGCATTAACAAAAACAACATAATCATGCAGTTTTGTTTAGTTATAACAGCATTGCAAACAACATATTTGCATTTGCAGTCTGTATATCTATAATGAATGGATCTTGCACATCGTCTCTTCGGGGCCGTGTTTATTTATTTTAAACTAACTTGTGGCGTGATATGTAGGCCAGCAGTTCTGCACAGCTAAGCACGAGCTGTTCACTAATCTGTTTATACAGCAAAAATCTGCATCCTCTTACAATTTGGAAATTGCTATCATGGATGTAAAGGCTGGTTTGTTTGTTTGTTTGTTTGTTTGCGGTTGTTGTTTCATCTGTTTCCCTCCAGCTGTTAATCCACGCACCACATTGCATATTGCGGCGTCAGTGGTAGGTGTCTGCGTGCACGCATGAACGAGTGTGTGATTTCAACAGATGGCCTTTTGCCCTGAACCCTCTGGAGGAATCTTTCCTGCTTCCTGAGGCTGTTATCGCCCAACACATCTGCCGCTTTGATTCCCGCTAAAAGAAACACCGGCCGTGGAAAAGCCGGCGCTATAGCTCTCCTGGTCAGGAGCTTTTAGCCAGCCATATGGACAGTTTGTGTATTAGTTGCGTTGATCGTTTGTTTTCTTTTGCACTGTCACCTCTCTTGTCTTCATATGGTCAAATTTTTTTTTCCCCCTGTTTTGCCCCCTTAATGCTACCATTAGCTATCATCACCTCACCCACTGCTGCCACCACCTGTCTTCTATTACAGCACCCTGTTATCAAAGCCCAGCGTTTACCCTCCAGGCAGTGCTCTTTGGACTTGGTGACTGATGGCAGTGTAGGGAAGAGCCCACAGAGATCAAACACAACAGCTCCTCAGCTTGGAGCTATGCCCGTCTGAAGGGAGGTGGCTGAACAACATGTCGTTAAATTGTTACTGAATACATTGCTGCATACATGTAAATGTTTAGCTTCATATATGTCGAGTGGGCCGGTTATAGGCCACACAGACATGCTTGATTATACCAAACATATGATACTAGGTGTTTTTTGACATGATGATATATAAAAATGTACTTTAATTATGTAGCACCTTTTTAAAAAAGTGATTGGATAGATAAAAAGAAGAGTATTCATGTTGTAAATTCACATGGAGAGCCAAACAGAATAATTGGAAAGCTTTTTAAAAGGGTGCAAACAAAAAAATATAAAAAGGAAAAACTAGATTAATAGAAACAAGAGAAGACAGAAGGGGACAATAAAACTGCACGTAAGATAACGTTGCAAAGTTTCCTACTTAAACTAGATGTGAAATAGCAGAGGTGTGGCTGTTATCTGATCTTGAATTACAAGTGAACTGTTGCTATCAACGCTGTGCTTTATTATTGATAATACGAATGAATTATTGTGTTGAATCTGTCAGGTTCAGTTCTGTGAAGCAGTTTAGAAAAGCGGATATTTTGCTCTTGAATGGTGGCTTCAGGATCCGTTACAGTGTTGTATCTCAGAACTGAGAGTTGGGGGAGAAAATGGTCTTTGCAGTGTTTTTGCCCTGAAGCCAGCACAAACCTGACTTGTAGATGAGGTTAAAAGGTGGATGTTATGTCAATTTTAATAGTAACTGACATTTTTATTTCTGTGCACAGGCCCAGGACAAGAGGAAAGCTCTGGAGGAAACCAAAGCCTACACCACCCAGTCCCTGGCTAGCGTGGCCTACCAGATTAATGCCTTAGCCAACAATGTGCTGCAGCTGCTGGACATCCAGGCCTCGCAGCTGCGGCGCATGGAGTCCTCCATCAACCACATCTCTCAGGTCAGAAATACACACAGAAACTCCTGGCCACAGACCAAGCAGCTGTGAAGATCGCTGCCCCACGCTTTCCACTTCTCCTCTCACTTTCACACAGACTCGGTTATTTTAAGTCACAGCATGAAACAGTAGCATCCATGGTTCCCTTTATTGGTTTATCAGTCTTACTCAAGTCCTGACTGGTGGTCTGTTTGTTTTTATTTTATGTCAGCGTGGTTGAGAAGCATAAAAATGATGAAACAGTTCCCCCAACAGCCATCGACATCCTCAAAACACAGGGTTAGAGTTGTCATAGCTGGTTGTAATCCATTCATCCACAGCATATTACTTTTGTTTTTTAAATAAATAAGCGAAAATAACAGCATTTGAAAGCTTGATTCTGTCGCCTATTTAAAGAAAAACTTTTCTGTCAGTCACAAACTGTCAGAAGTCTATTTAATGCTGTTTACTTTATTTGTTTTTTAGATTTTAGCTTGTGTAGAAACGGGCATGTTGCAAGAAACAAAGCCACACATCACGCTGTTTATTGCCCAAGCAAAATGAATCCTGTCCTAGATGTGCTTTTTAAAGTACGCAAAACTTTGCATCACATACTTTACAGCTGAAATGTAAAAGTTTGAAAACAAATGTTCTCCGTCCTCTTCGGTTTCTTTACTACTTAGCAAGTCGTTTGCAAGTGTTTGCAGACAAGCCGGTGTCTTCCACACAAAGAGCCGGTGACTGCACTTTACTCGCCCAAGAAATGCCAGCAACGTACCCACAACCACTCACCAACATGTTGAGCAATACATGTTTTTCCCTAGTGGTTACCAGTGGGTCATTGGCAGATCTGTAGGTCAGAGCAAGTTTGGCTTGAGCAAGCAATTTCACAGCAACTGCCAGCAACCTACAACTGTTGGCAAATACTCAGTTTTAGCAACCGGTGGTTGCCAGGCGATTGCAGCCTCTAGGCCTGTGCGACCGGAGCCTTCGATACGAAGCCCCTGGTCACTTTTGTTCAGTGCCAGTTCCAATAAAGCTTTTGCAAACACGAGGTTTGTATCCTCAGGACTGACATGAGGGGAAAAAAGAGATGATGGAAGTTTTTCTCTGGGAAAATTTCAACCTGAAATTGCATTATGTAGTTCATTATGAATGTGGTTCAATTGATCAGAGACTTTTAAAATTATATTGATTTTATACTTGAGAGTAAGTAGCTCACTCTTTTACTTATTGATAGTGTTCAGTATTTTAGCAGCCTAACTGTTAAACGCTTTTTTTAAATGACTTTAACCACATTGCTAACACATACAGTAGCTCACTCCTGTAGCCGTTCCTCTTTGCAGGGTGAGGGTTTTGCCATGTGCAGGTAAATCCAGCCGCTCATCCAATGAAGGCATTAAGAGCTCAGACAAATCAAACAAAAAACTCCAGCCATGTGGCATCTCATAGATTAGAACTGGGAGAGATTCACCACACCCTGAGCACGCCAAAATTTGTGTTAAAATGACTATACTTGGAGTGGTTGGATGACGACTGGAGGCTCTAGTTCCTTTGATTTAGTTTTCCCTGCTTTTTCTTGATAACAAGACGTCCTGAAGGTCACATTTTTAGTCTGGTGGTGGAAAAGATCATTTGCGACGCCGGAGGGTTTGTGAGGGAAAGGAACAGACGATGACTGATGATGAGCAAAGAAAGCGGAGAGAGACTCCCAAAAAGACAAATTTACTTTTACTAAGTTTTGAGTCCGTATCCTGACAAACAGCCTTCAGCTGATACCAAGGTCACTGTGACACCACTGCCTGCCTCAGTCTCCATGACAACCCCCTGAGCTACATCTAAAAAATATTTGAAAGACAGCTCGACACGTTGTTTCAGATCAGCAAAGAAGGCCGTGCACTAAACACTCCGCTTAGTTTACACTATTTGACTTTGTTTCCATGGTCTCGTATCTTGTCGTGGGAAATGCCAGACTTCCTTTGCTATATTTAAACTCAATGTTGTGCACAGTGTGTAGCCATGGAGAAGCCTCTAAGATGACTAAATAGTGTCACTTTAGGTCAGCTGACAGCCAGGTTTCCCCTCATTATGCTTATCTTTATATTTATCTTTATATTTATATCTTTATCATTTATTAAAAACAAATTATAATAATAAAGCAAGAGCACCAAAAGAGCATTGATGCACCAAATGCCACTTTCCTTGGCTGATTCTGATTTTGCTTTCTAAGAAATATAAATTTGCATTGTTCATAAAAAAATGAACAATAAAAATATTTTCCACAGCTACACCTGATTATACCTTTTTTTCATTTAATCACACACTTGGATAGATCTTGGAATAAAGTGCTCCATGTTACTGGGCAGAATTTACATTGTAAATGTGACTTACCCAACATGTTGTACCTTCTTGTAAAGCTTCTAATTTTAAAGGAACTTATTTCCTAATCACTTGAATTTGAGAATAAATGTCAGACTAACGCCTACATCCAGTGTCGAAGAAAATGGCCAACTCTGACCACAGTGGTAGAAATCAAAGGTGTGTACTCAAAAGCAACGTAAAACCATTTAATATCACATTGTTATGGAAATGAAATTGATTTTAAATGGCAGATAGATGCATTGCACTTATTCCAAAAGCTAAATTAATTTGATGAGTGTGGCTTATGTTAGCCAGTTGGCATGTTTTACAGTACTCTGGTCAGGTGGTTATGCTTGTTTCTGCAGCCTTCATGGAGCCATCTATTTTTGGTAGTGCTAGTAATGCTACTGGTAGTGCTATTTTTGCTCTTTTTGTCAAACTCTTGAACGACACACTGCACATCATACCAAGATTTGATGTTTTAGCTAATAGCTCTTTGGGAATCTCCCTGTTGAAAAACCTTAAGAAAGCCCGGGGAACTGTTGCTCAAAATCATTGAGCAATAAAGTTTCACAAAAGCGTGACTCTTTGGAAGCAAAATAACAGATGATCAGCAGGCCAAAGTTTTTACACAGTACTCTATTATTATGATAGGAAGGCTGGTCAGAGGTCAAGGCTAATTAGCTGAAAAGCCAGTGACCAGTTGGTGCATTTCTACTTCAAACTATTATTTTCCCCAGCTGACAGCCTTTGTAGCTACAGGAATAACACTCTGGAAATGTAAAGGATTTAGCAGCTTTGTCTGTTGCCAAACATACGCCACAGTGCTTAATATCCTTTTCATTCATTACGCCTTCTTCTCTGCCTGGTTGTTTTTATGAATAAGTGAGAGCAGAGGTCTTAATGAGTTAGCCATTATGAAGCGTATCTCTGTTTTTAATAACAAAAAGGGAGGGCTGTGTGAGCTCTGCACGCTGTGGGTTTGTTATAGCTCTCTGCTGTCGTGTTCAGAGGTGGATCATTATCGTGATGCCCTCACAGCTCATGGATATGAGATTAGCGGAAGCCCTAAAGGCCACTGTTGCATTCTGCTGAATGGTTAATGGAGAGGAAAGCCTGTAACTTGCGGGGGAAATTTCCTCATTTGCCTCTGAAATATGATGAACACGCTGTTGCGTGCGCTGGATGAGTCCTATAATTCTCCCTATAATCAATTTTTGTCAGTATCATAAGCCTGTACCAGTTCCTGCTCAAAGCTAGAGATGCCTCAGAGTACAGTCAGTGCCTGTGGTGAGACGTGTGCTGGCGTCATGGCAGCTTTCTTTGGTTTGCCCACAGTTAGGAGGGATTCACTCTGGTCAGGGTGTGTCTGCTTTGTGATGGCATCTCTCCGTCTGGAATATAGCACATTCATGTTGTTTACCTTTGTGCTGGGGTGCATACGAGTGACTAATGGGTTCTGTTTTGCCAAATTAGAAAACTGTAGGGTGCTCTGTATGGCACATGAAAGTTCTTTTATGTGTTGTAAAAATTTCCACCATGTGTTTGTGATGTCGTACAATAGGAGTCCAAAGGAATCAGGCAATCCCTGCTTCATTTTTCCCGTTTCTTTCTTTTTCCAAACTCGAGACAGCTGTCTGTGCCCTTATCTGTTGGCCTTCTTGTTTCCAGTACTTGGTCCCTTCTTCATCATGAGTCTTGAGAAATGCCAAGCTATGACTGGCCAGCGACCAACTTGTAGTTTGTGCTGTCTCTGCCAAGGCACAGCAAGAAATTATGACTTGTTTTTGACTCAATCGACAGTGTGACCATCTTGTCAGACAAAATATTGTGCTTTCTGCAGGCTCGATATGAAGCAGGTGGACATAGAAGATGAAGCTCGGCTCATTTGTAGCGGATCAGAAAACATAAATGTGATGTCTTTATATTTACAACATTTTGTAATAATTTAGTCTCTGCTACATTTGATCGTACCCAAATTACTTGTTGTTATTCAGTGGATATCAGTGTCCTGCTGCAGTACAACTTACATAAATGTTTCAATGTGTTCCTCTGGGTGTTTGTTGGCGTGTCACCTTCCCTGCTGTCATTGCCATTTACAATCTCTTTGCAGTATTCAGGCGGAAGGTCTAAAGGGAGAATAGAGTAGCTAGCGGGGCTTCCACCTTGTGCTGCGTGTGAAGTGGCTGCTAAGAGGCTGCGAACAGGGAGTGCTTTGTTTGTCCGGCGGAAGAAAGCGGTGCCTCGCATTGAGAACCTCTCTGTGATACCCCGAATAGAGAGGGAGGACGGGAAGAAAGGGTGTATGTGTTTTTGGATGCGTTCTCCTTAAATTCAGTCTCCATTGCATAATTTGATTTCACGCAATTCACCCAGAGGCACTGAAAATACAGCAAGAGAGAGTAAAGCCTCTCTCATTTACCTGCGATAGATGTCTGATTCAATCATAGTTACATCAAGTTTTTCATGAGTAAGTGTTAGATGTGGAAAGATGGGACATGATGGAAAAACAAAGTAATTTATCAAGAAAGACACCTGAAGAAACTCAAAGATGGGTCTTGGCTACTATTTTGGTCAACACTTTCTATTAGAGGTGATGACGTACCTCTCCTTTGCTTGCATGGTGAAACAGAGAGCAGAGGAGAGAAACTTGACCAAATAAA